TCACATACATTTTTCACTGTAAAGCTTAGAAATCCCATAGAATAAAGCGTTTGTCATAGATAATCAATTCTAAGGAAAGTAGTCTGATACTACCAAGAATGTAAAGGGTAACAGACAAGAAAAGAGAAAAGGAGGAGTTAATGGTTGTCTAATTTAAAGAGCTAAAGAAATGGTCCGTTAACTGAGCAATTACTGCATTTTGAAGTATATATTAAGTAAAAATGAAATCGGGAAGGCAATATATTAGTAATATGGTAATTAAGAGTCTACATTTTGAAGTCAAATAGCCCCTGACAGAATTTCAATTCTACCACGGTGAGGGTTAATTTTATGTGTCAACTTGAGTGGGCCATGGGGTGCCAGATTAAACATTGTTTCTGGGCGTGTCTGTGAGAGGCTTCTGAATGAGATCAGCATATGAACTGGTGGACTCAGTGAAGTGGATTGCCCTCCCCAAAGTGGCTGGGCATCATCCAATCTGTTGAATGCCTGAATAGAAAAATACAAAGAAAAGATGAATTTGCCCCTTTTCCAATTTTTTTCTGCCTCATTGCTTAAGCTGGGACATCTCATCTCATCTTCTTCTGCCCTTGAATTAGGATTTACATCATCAGTGCCTCTGCTTCTCAGGCCTTAGGACTCAGACTTAACTACACCACCAGCTTCCCAGGGTTCTCCAGCATGAAGATGGCAGATTGCTGGACTTCACAACCTCCATAATCGCATGAACTAATTCCTCATAATAAATCTCCTTTTTACATCTCTCTTTATTAGTTCTGTTTCTCTGGAGAACCCTGACTACTATTACCACCAACTAGCAAAGTGATTTTGGGAAAATTCACTTTTTTTTTTTTTTTTGAGATGGGGGTCTCACTATTGCCTAGGCTAAAGCACAGTGGCTATTCATAAGTGTGATCATAGCATACTGCAGTCTTCAACTCCCAGCCTCAAGACGTCCTTCCACCTCAGTCTCCTGAGTGGCTGGGACTACAGGTGTGTGCCACCATGCCCAGCCTAATGACTTAACTTCTTAAAGCCTTATTTTCCTCATCTGTGCATGGGAATAATACCACCTACCCACACGATTTTCTGAAGATAAAAGGAATTAATTATACAAAGCACTTAACAAAAGGTCTATCACAATAAATGTTAGTATCACTTATCATAATAAAGATTTATGTGACCACTAAACTAGTTATGATACAATTAGTATTATTTGCTAATGAAACATATCTGCTTTAAATTATTTTACCATGAGATGTAAATGGTAGAACATCAATCAAAACAAGTTCATCTGGGATTGCATGACTTGGAAGATGTCTCTGCAGTTCTTTGAAGATGTAATCCTTTACTAAATTATCTTTGGACACCATGAAGAGAATTAATTTTTCCTGATTATACCACGTAACTGCACAAGACTCCACGTACTGAAGTTCTTCAGCAACCTGTAAGAACGATTATCCAAATATGCCAATGAGGACATTTAAAAACAAGCTTCCTAAATACTCAATTTTTTTTATGTCTGAAATAAAAACAGTTGGATTAAATTTTGGAATATACTTAAGATTTTGAAAAAATTGGTTGCTACTGTTACTATTACTAGCACACCGGGTTCTTAATATTTTTCAAAAATAACAGATCCTAAAACAAAATAAGCCCATTTATTTTCACAGATATCAGAATCCACTTTGTCACTTATTTAAGGAATAACCATCTCTTCATGCTGGGAATAAGAAGCACATTGAATCATCCATACCTTATACTGTACTTCATCACTAACACAAAAATCTTAGGTGTAAATAATAGGGAACCCTAGCACAAAAAATTAGTGGTGGTTGCTTCTAATACCCACAATGTATTAATAGATATTTAATATTTAAATAGTTCTACCTGTTGCACAAGTTCAATGTTAAGACGTTTGCCATGACGTTTGATCTGACTGTCCTTTCGTCCCAAGAAAAACATCTCTCCATCTTTCACAGTCACAAAGTCTCCTGTGGCTCGCATTGTGCCAAGCGGTACTGTCACTTCATCATCAAGAAAACACACTCTGTTTCTGCCACCTTCCCAAGATATAAACACCAATGTCATAAAAATCATGGGAAATAGACTAAAAACCATCAAATCATGAACATCTCCAAAAGTAGTTACTAAGCTTCAAAATTTAAATATTTATATTAAAAAGGTGGTTCACTTTTAAATGTTATCTGGTAAAATTAGACACAATTTCCTCAGTAACTAAGC